CACTAAGGAAAACAAAACAAATTCTGAAATCTTTAATCACACATAAGTTATTTATCTACTAACTACTACGGCGTATGGTCTAATAGGGGCATATAGCATAAATGATAGATGCCGATACTCTAGACCAATTAAATATATAAAAAAAAAGGATAATTTTTGCCCGGCGCAGAAAAATTATAGTCGGGCCAAATTGCATCTTGATAATTTTAGGTATGCATAGGCATACCCAGCAATACCCCAAATGACGCCCCTGCTCCCGTGGCCCTCGCTGTCGGGACTTCGCCAGCCGTCATGATGGTCTTAGCCCGCCAGCAAACGCGCTGGCGACTGCACTCGTCCGCCTGTGGGATGTGCCGCGAGAATGTATAGAGGTGATCAGTAGCCTTATTGCTTTATGCAAGCACCTCGCCATCACGTACCACTCCCCCCTGCTTATTGTGTCTTGTCTAGTGTTTTTTTATTTCCCCCATTAGGCCACTTTGAGCCGTTTATTATATATCGAGAATCCTTAAAAATTAAAATAATAATAACAATTTCAAGTAAAAAAAAAAAATAGGCCACTTTGAGCCGTCTATAAATTTATAATTAAAAAAAAAAACAAAACTTTGATTGTACCTATTTAAACTACAATATATATATTGTAAAATTACATTTGTTGAGTGCACAATAAAACTGTCTTTCAAAAACAAAATATTGTTTCTTTGTTTACGTATTAGAGTGTATTTGTATATTTATTTATTTCAACAGAATAATAGCTCCATTGAATAAGCCCCTGTGAGGGAGGGCTCATGCTCAGTATTAACTAACTATACTAGCAATGGTTTTGTCACCCATCAAGTATATCAATGAAATATTATAATAATGATCGGTATTTTTGGTCAGGTGAATGTATAATAATTAATAGATAGGTAACCATAGATAACTTGGGACTTTTACATGTACGTACTATACATTTTACTGTACGCAATGGCATTTTAAAAATAGTAATACTTTATACTCTTGACCCCACAAAGTAGGTAACAACTAGTCACTAGACACTAGTTCCTACCAAGTATCAGAAAAGATGCCGATGTAAAATACTAAAAGATCAAAGTATTTTTACTACCCCAAAAGGTGATGACAGACATGAATAATAAAAAAGCAGGTTAGTGGATGTTGCTCTGCTGTACAGTTGGTTACAAGTGGCTCAAGTGGATTTATGTAATGGATGGCTTTAAATTTGAATTCAATGATATAAATCATTGTATACGAAAAACGATTGTGAGCAAAGACTGACTTTCAGACTATAATATTACTAAGTAGGTATATTTTATGATATTAGTGTGATTAATTTTAGTAGGTATCTACTAAAGTAGGTTAAATTCATTTTTGCCAAAAAATCAAATTTGAAAATGTCATTGTGTAGACTTATAAAATATAATAATATACCTACTCTAAAAGTTTCATATCCCCATGAATAATATTTTTAAATTACAACAAAATAACTAAAAACGTTATTCTTGGTTTTAATACCTATGAAATTTACTAAAAGGGAGAATGTATGATGTCGATGACGACAATCGTTACAGTTACAACTGCTTATGAGAATATTTGTTTTAACCTTTCAATCCTTAGCTATAAAAACTGAACATTTTATAATTGTTTAATTACAATAATTGATTATTTTCGAGATTTTGATGAATTAAGTCAAAATATGAACTTGTACCGATTTTGTGGTTTTCTTCTTTCACACTAAAAATAGGTATTAACACAATAATTCAACAATCATTAATAACATCAGATCCCTGATTAAAACAACACTATTAACAAGTTGAAATAATAACAGCGCTTTTCAACTCAAATGAACGTTTTATTAGCTGGTTAAAATAAACAAATTATAATTGCTAAGATAATTACATTTCATGTTATTTTCAATGTATTAAGGTTTTATTATATTCAAATTAACTATATAAATAAGTTGAAATAATAATATGTATATTGTCATTTTAATATTAATTGTAGTCAAACCATATGTTTTTAATATTACAACGTGCGGACCCCGTCGCTTAGACGATGCGCGTAATATTACCTTCCGCGACGACGGCGATACGGCGCACGACGCCATCTCTTGAGCGTTGCATACGTTTCAATTTTACCACGAAGGCCTTTAATAGGTCTATGACAAGGTTTATAGATTATACAGGTTGCCTCATTTTGAAAATATCGAAAAAACAGGAGTGGGAGAAAATGGCGCTGTGACGTCATCGTCGTACAAACTATAAACAATGACAAGTGTTTCATATTATGTTTTTATGTAGTTTCGTACTTTCGTTTCGTTTATTTATTTAAATAAATAGTGTTTTAATTTGAATAATTATGGCTACGAATGAAATAAATAAACCTTAAGGTGGTTCTGTTTGCGCGGTATCTACTTGCGTTAATTATTCTGCAAAATCGAAAAATGAAGGGAGAACTGATATTTCATTCCACAGGTAAATACATTTGATTTTTATATTATTACTTTATTCAATCTAGCTATTATAACAATAATAACATAATTACAGTCAATCAAAGTTCACCAACTTTGATTAATTTAAAAAAACTTGGCAAATACAATGAAATTAATACATTTTTTGAGTGTATTATGAAATCAATAGGTATTTACCAATTTTATAAATTTAAAGTTTATAATATCATAGTTGAATATATAATATTATTACTTAAATTAAATGTTTATTCACTTTTTTGCTCATAATACATTTGTTTTGAGGTAATTTTTAATGGCTGTTTAGTGTTTATTTTAATACAGCTTCAGTAGAAACCCCTATTACCAAAATATATAAATATTTAACTATTTTAGTGTACACGGTGTACAATTAGTTGTCTAAATTATATATTATAATTAATTTCAATGTATACCTTAAATAAATTTTTGTGTAGACCTAGCCAATCTTGAGCAAAATACTTCAAAAGTAATAAAATTACAATTACTTATAGGTACTTTTCTGAAATGTAAGCTTAAACTTAAATGTAATTAAGTTACTTTATATCTGAAATATGAAATTAATATACTACTTTTTAAATTTCCCTATACTAGACCTATAGTTCATCTAATTTTATGGTTTAAAAATATGTCTTATATTTAGGTTTCCAAAGGACCTGTTTTATCAGAAAATTTATTAGTTTTATTAAAAAAAAAACAAAAAGCAAAAGCACAACTACAAAAATTGCAGAAATTTAGAAGACTGATGACATAGGGCATCTTGCGACTGAATTTTTTTTTATTACAGAGTCATTAACACATTCATATTATTATTTATTAAGCAAACAAATTGAAATGTAAATACTTTATTTTGATTGAATTTTTTTATCATTTAATTAGAGTCTTGAAAAATATGTTAACTCATTATAATTATGTTTATGTTTAACATCCTCCCTTAAAATAATTTGTGTTATTATTAGCATTTTGAAATTAGCATTTTTATGTAATACAAATTTAAATATATTATACTTTGACTGCACTTTTTATAATCATAGCCTGTAAAAAAATATCAATTTATAGTAATATGGGTATTTTGTGCATTGTTATATTAATTTATTAAAATGTACCTACCATACCAAGACTGATTTTTCTTATTTTGGTTAGTAAAAAATATGAATTATTATTCTAAAAATAATGTTTTTATTATTATATACATATTTTATATATTAAATGTATTACCACAACTCGCAAGTGATTATTTTCTTTATTATTGTTAAAAATATATAAAGATTTTTCTATAATTTATTTTGTTTATTAATTCATTTAATACATTTATAGGAATATAATTCCTTTTAAAATAAGACTCATTATCATATTGGAAATTATTTATTAATTTATTCTTTATAATATTATACAAAATATCATTAAATATATAAAATAGGTAACTAAAAATTATGAAATATTATTGACAATGATAATATAAAAATAAAAATAAGTTAGACTAACTTCTTTACTCGACTATTATTGTAAAAAAGTGCATATAATATTAATGACAGGTTTCGAAAAAAATTCATCAGGTATAAAAATAAAAAAGCGTATAATATTATATCATATTATAATATTAATAATTTTAGTTATATTCTAAAATGTACATTTCGAAAAAATAAACTTTCTATATATTTTCAGAAAGAAAAAGAGTAAATAATTGTATGGCGAATACGTATAGAATATGGCAGGCCGCCGATTTTGTACGACGATGACGTCACATGGCTGGGAATGGTGCGGGGGGTTCGAGTTTGTTTACATGACTATGAGGCAACCTGTATAATCTATAAACCTTGGGTCTATGATGATAATATAGTGTCCCTTATCAGCTTACCATGTTAGGCAGTTATCACGATACAAACAAAGATTAAATGAAAATTAATTTAATCTGTGATACAAACTTGTTGAAAAAAAAAACTCGACATACCCATTTAGTGTTTAGTGTTTACATACGGTACTACAATAGTAATTAAGGTATTGCTATTTGCTACATATTTTTTAATTTCATTCACCGTGAACAGTTCTATCGTTCAACCGACGAGGAGACAATCGGTTTTGGATACCCACGCACGACACGGTTTTCTAGTTTTCAGGAATTTTGTCTCGCCCATGGTGATCAACCGGTGCGAACTCGACATTATGTCCTCCGCCGTCGGATGCGGTTCACTGCCGCCTTAGCATAAACGATTGTCCGACGATTTGTGTCAGGTAAGCAGTTTAGCAGTATGATGTATGTCGTGAGTTTGGCACCTTGTAGGCCCACAGTACCATCTATGCATTTTGGTGGGGAGGGTATGAGGTGGGCATATGGCACACGGACGTGGAGTGCAGTGGGTAGTCAGTTTTGTTTGAACAGATCGTCATTCATTTGATTTTCGGTTTTTTTTCCCCATGTTTTTTCAGTCCACTGTCGTGGGAGAGTCGTCACGACGAACACGTTGAGTTAACGTGCACCGCACGATTGGCCAGGCCCGAATACAGTACGTGGAGAGCCATGGAAAACGACGTGAGACATGAACTGCAGCCAACTGTCAACGACGACGACAACAATTGTGGTAATCTACATTTTTTTAACGCCGCACAGACTTATTACCTCTTCGTGTTCATTCTTTTATGTGTTTACACCTATACACATACATATTATGTATATATAATATATAATATGTATGTATTTTTTTTTTTTCATATTTGCTAACTACCTACACAACTCTTCCCATGTGTATTATATATTTTGGTTTGTTGCACACTGTGTGTTATTTTTACAATATTTTACAGACACATTTTTTGCACGATCGTTCAAGCAATTCAGTGTGTACACATTAGTTTAATTTTTCAATACTTACAGGTATTAAACTACAGAATTTCACATTTACACTGAATTACTTGTGTTCATTTTTATGGAGGTTTTATTGTTTTTAATTTAATTTTTTTTTTTTATCAAATAAATGTTATCAATGCTTATGTTGGTGTTGCACGCTCTTTATATCGACAGGTCCGTTGACTTTGGACTTGCTTCTAAAACAAATAGACGAATTGAAATTGGAGAAAAAAGAGTTTGGCTTGCAACGCGCCAAAATGAAGGGGTTTATACTGCAAAAAGAAGGTGACCAGTTATTGCTTTGTTGCTTTATTTTTGTATACTATGTATATATGCCATTAATTTCTCCATTAATTTCATGTATAATTGTTTGTAAGATATATTTGTAATGAGTTTAATTATTAGAGGAACTCAAGCGTATGTCAACTCTCTCAGCCGAATTGAAGAGGTTACAAGACGAGTTAGATGAATCACAAAGTCAGCATACTGTAACTAAACTTGAAATGGAAGGACGGTTTGAAGAACAAACCCGCAAATATAATGAAGAGATTTCATCATTGCATAAAGTGGTTGCTGGTAATATTTTTAATAAAGTAATTTATTTTTCACTATTTTAAAATTTACTTTTTTCAGAAACTTTAGAAGAATCGAGGCGACGTGAAAATGAAACTAAAATATACAAAACAATGAATGAAAAATTGGAAAATGAACTAAAAAATTGTCGCAATCAAATGCTAATTGGCCAGCAAGGAAATAATATACTGAGTGAATCAACACAGCAACAAATACGTAATGTACCTGGTACAGTTCTTTCTGCTATTGCTAGAAAAATGACAAATCTTGCTTCTAGCACTGAATCTGACGATTATAGAAAGGTACATGTTACATACATGTTTTTTTCAAATAAATTACATAGATAAATCTTAATTATTTTTTTAATAACTTATTCTAGTCTCAGGATGATGAAGATAATGTGTATAAAGCTCTAGTCGATCCATTAAAAGAAGAAGTCGAAGCATTAAAAGAAAAAATTCGTGAAATGGACACAGATATCAGTTACTATAAAACTAAATTAAATGAATCGAAGGATAATGTTGTTGAAAAGCTGACTGCTTGTATGTATTTGTAAACCAATAGCAAATACTATAAACGATAAATGATAATGCGTGACACTGTGTATTAAAAGGGTGACAAACAAATTTTTTTCATTCCCCTCAGAGATTGTTATTATTTGCCTACATTTTGCTATTTTGTTCACATAATAATAAGGAGTTAAATAGGAAACTATTATAATATTCTCTCAAAGCTATTATGACGAAAAATGATTTTCTTGTTTGTGTTTCCTAATGTCCTATATTATTGCTTATAGTATTTGCTAAATTACCCTTATAGATTCAAAATTATTTAATACGTATACAATTTATTTTCTTAGGTAATTCTCAAGAAGAATCGTCTAATTCTTCAGCAACTGGAGATTTTGTCTCCCAAAACACATCAATTGGTATATTAATAATTAATTTTATTGCTGTGAACAACTTATGACTATATTTAATTCCTGTTGTAGATAATAATATGGAAAAATGTGAACAATGTTCCTTATACAAAGTTCGCATAGAAGAAATGCAAGAAAGAATAAATGAAGCGGATAAACGTCTTTTGTCAATGGACAAGCTTAAAGATGAACATGATAAAGAGACAATTTATCGAAAGGAGATGGAAGAAAAGTGGAATGAAAAATTAGATGAACACAAAAACAAGGTAACTTTAAAGACTTTAGATTTAATAGTGGTTTCGCGGAAGAATGCGAAAGCAGTTCCCGCGACGCCGTCGGTTCAAAACTGCAAAAAAAAAAAAAAAGATTTAATAGTGGTTAAATAATAAATATATTAGATTAGGTACTGATTTTAATGGTTTCTGTAGGTACAAGAATTGAAAAGTTTCTCAGATCAATCACACGAAGTGCTCAGTGATCTTAAACTACAATATGAACAGACAGTGATAGATTTTCAGAAAGAAATTAAACTCTGTACAGAAAATGGTGCTAAAATGAAGCAACGTATATTGAAGTATTGTTACACTAAAACAAATTGAAAATGTACAATATTTTTTATAATTTTATGGATTGTGTTTATAGTTTAGAAGAAGAAAATCATAATTTAAAAGAGAAACACATGAAGTTTTCTGTACAATTACAAAATGAAGAAATTAATTTACCCAGTTCAGTAGCGGTTAGTGTTGTTTTTAAGCTAATAGGTAGTAATATATTTTCTTTAATCAAATGTGTTATATGTTGGATTCACTTAGGAACTTCAAGAATATTTATTAAAACGTAATGAAGAACTTATATCCATGTCTATAGTAAAAGAATCCATAGAAGAAGAATTTAACAGAATAAAAAATAGTACAGCTATTTTTGAAAGCCAAATACAAGGACTGAATTCAACAGTGATTCTGCTTGAGTACGTATTTTAATATTTTAATATTTAAAATTATTTTAGCATATTATCATTAACTATTCAATGACGATCGATAGTATACATTTAATATTTTTATTACTTATATAGAGTTCATTGTTGGTATTTAATATGTTTAGAGAAATGTATACATGTATATTAACTAAATTACTGCAAAAAAAAAAAAAAAATGTAAAACTTAATAGTTTACTACCAAACAGCGGCGAGTTGCTCCGTGAAATGTGTAAATATGTAGTGACTTTAATAGTCATGGTCGTGACCAAAACATTTTCCTTTTATATTAAATTAAAATTATTCCATATAAAGCCTACCCTATAGGTATGAAGAGGTTTATAACACATATAATTAGTTCTCAAGTACCTATCAACTGAAAAAAAGTCAGATGTGTATGTAAGAACCTTCCCTGCTTTCATATCATGTTAAAACAGAGGTTCCCAACCTTTTTTGACTCGCGGCACCCTTGGACATTTTCTAAAAATCCGGAGGCATCCTATGCTCTATAGTCTATAGTCTATACTATAGAGTACTTCGGTTCTATTTATTAGTGCATAAGTATAATCAAAAGTAGTAAGGTGTAGGTGCATACTATATACATATTACATTTTATAAACAAATTATTACATTGTATTTATTTTTATTTTTAATTATTATTTATTTTTATTTATTATTTAATTTATTCTTTTATTTATTTATTTATTATTGGAACTAATGTGATACTTGGGCTTGTTTTTTTTTACACAAATCTTTTATTTGTGGTTGAATAGTTGAAAGACATACTCTTATTTCTTCTTCAATGAACTCCATTTTCATTCGTTTATTTGATTTTATGTTAACAAGAGTGGAAAATCCTTGTTCACATAAATATGATGTCGAAAACTGCAGTAATATTTTTAGAGCTTTTTTGCCAATTTCAGCGTGAATTAACTCATGTACTCTGGACAAAACTTTACCACGCGATAGCCATCATACTTTTGTATGTAAAATAAGTTTAGTAAATTGTGATTCCATTGCTTCACATAATAAAGAAAAAAGTCGTGTTTTTAATGTTCTCATTTTAATAAAATTTACCATTTTTATCACTTCATCAAGAACATTTTTTAACCGAGGACCGATAGTTTTTGCTACTAAAGTTTCTCTATGAAGGAAACAGTGAGTTGCAAGTATAGTTTTATTACACTTTTTTGCCAATGTAACAAAACCTTTTATAGAACCAATCATACTAGGAGCCTAACCTAACCTAACCTAACCTAACTATCAGTGCAAATACCATAACAATAATCCCAAGATAAATTTAATATTTTAAGATAAGAATCAATAATATTAAACGCATCAAGACCAGTTGTCGTTTCTTTCATTTCTTTGCAACAAAAAAATTGTCTATAATATTATCATTATTAATAAAACGAATAAACCCAATTAAATAACATTTACCATACTTGTGTCAGTGGATTTGTCAATTTGAAGACAAAATCCATTTGAAGCTTTAATTTTTTCCCCCACATTTTTTTCTATGTCTTCTAACATATCTTGGACGCGTCTACGAATAGTATTATTCGAAAGAGGTATTTTTTTTATTTCGGCTTCAGCCTCACTACCAAACATAATACACACTATTTCTGAACAGGCTGGAAGAATTAAAGATTCACCTATTGTATGTGGTTTTTTATTTTCAACTATTAATTCTGCCACTTTATAACTAGCTTCAAGTGCTAGCTTCAATGCTTTATTAGGAATAGTAACCTTTTTCTCAAAAATTACTGATTCTTTATTTTGTGAACTTAATAGTTGTTTGAAGTAGTCAATATTTTTATTAGCTAAATGATCATGTTTTTTTAATAAATGACGCTTCAATTGACTTGGAACTAAAGCTGCGTTGTATAATTTCACTCCACATACAATGCATTCTGGTTGAGGACAATTTTCATTTCCATACCAAGTAAATCCCATAGCTAAGTAACTAATATTATATAAACGTATTTTATTTAAACCAGTAAAACTAGAACTAGCTTGATCTGATTCACCAGATGTTGATTCAATATTATGGTTAGTTAAAATTTCGTCTTCATTTAATTTTTGTTTTTTAACAATAAATTTATCAATTATTTTAACTAAAATTTAATTATATGAAATTATAAAATATCTAGACACGACTGAAATATAATATGTTTCGCAATGATGACTAAAACCAGACTGATTGTACTGAAATTGTTAGTTTACCTATATTATTAAATTACTATTGTCAATACATGTTTTACAAAAATTAAGATAAGATAAAAGCACAAGACATCGAAGCGATAGCAATGAAACTAGTGTATGAACATTAAAATAGATCGAACATCGTAATATTTCTACAAAATATATGAAACACGATAGGTTTTATATTATTATAGTCCATTTTATTTCTCACAGTGCTATACTTTTAATGAAATTGTTTTTTCTAAAAAAAATATTTCAAATAATTTTGCGGCACCCTGGTTGGGAATCTCTGTGTTGAAGGAATATATAATAATTTAAAATTAATTTTATAATTAATGTGGTAAAGTATGGCTGGTGGGATAATGCAACAGTGTTATAATGCCTTGTCGTTGGTTCAAACTTTCTACTTATTCCCTAATCCCCAATCAAATTTCTAGAAAATAAACTACTATGAATCTTATTACTGATATTGTTAAATTACTATTATACACAATGTTACACAATTATACACAACAAATAAATAAATAAACACTTATTCTGTTCAAATACCAAAATCCAAAAAAACAAATTTGTGATAATTATTATAATTTAGTATTTACCTACAAATAATTTAATTTTGTCTCGTAAAACGTAAAATTATTAATTTGTAAAATTTAAAATACAAAGAATGGTTTTGAACCAGTTAATTTTAAATTTCTACTTAATCTAATTTAGTTAACAATTATATAATTTGAAAAAAAAACTTAATAATATAGGTAGTCTGAATTTGTAGAAAAATTTGAAATTTGAAATTTTTCAAAATGTTTGTTTTGTTACACCTCATGAAGGCCTTATTTCAATTCAAGTTTAGCCAGTTGAACATTAAATGGTACTTCTCAAGCCTAAGCTTGATCCACACTATTTATGTATATTTATATTAAAAAGTAATAATAATTAGTTGAATAATTTTTCAGAAAACAATTACTGGAAGAAAGAAGTCGTTTTTCTGAGGAAATAAAAAATACAAATCGATGTGAAAAAGAGCTAACAAGCTGTCGCACTCAATTGGATTCTGTTACTAAAAGAAAGGTAAACAATTTGTTTAGAACAAAAATATCTGTTATGAATGTATAATAAGTTCTTTATATATTATATATATTAAAACAAATAATTAATTGCTCTCAAATAATATATTAGATTATAATAATTTATTGTACAAACATGACATAAATGCAAATTTATTTTAGGTACTTGTTGTATGGCAAGCAAAAAAATAATTAAATGCTCAAAGTCATTTTGTAGAAAAATATTTGAAGTTGATTACTTATGATATACTTATGGTTCTTATAGATTACTTATTTGATGATCAAAAGTTGTTTATTTTTTTTGTTATATAAAGTGCTATGAGTACTTTAATCGAATAAATACATTTTATATTTAAAGTTTTAAATACTTGGCACTTAATTAATTAATAATACAATAATGTAAAATGTTGAGGAAATTAATATTTGGGTTTTATTTTAGACTGAATTAGAAACTATGGCTTTGGAACAACGAAATAAAATTGTTGCTCTACAATCTGACTTGACCAATAGTGAAGAAGTACAACGTGATTTTGTTCGACTTTCCCAGTCACTTCAACAAGAACTGGAACGTATCAGAGAATCTGGCACTTTGGTAATAGAAGAAATGTTAATTATTTTAAAGTTAATTCTAATAAATGTGTAATTTAGGTGCGATGGGAACATGAAGAGGATATTATTGACTGTCGTGATTGTGGAGCTGTATTCTCCGATCCTAAAATCCAAAAGGTACTTCATTTTATTATTTGGAAAATTTTTTATGTACTTAAAGGGCATCACCACACTAAAACCAAGTTGGCTTAGATTTAAATTATGATATTATCTAAGAACATTATCTGGCTGTTCATCAACTCTCATTATCTTGTTGAATAATAATTTTTTTAAGTTAGGATTTTTATCAACACTATTTTTATTATTTTGATTACAATAATACACAAAAAAAAAATTGATTGAGATGTCCTTCAGTAATAAGACTAATTTTTTATTTTGTAGGACCATTGTAGACATTGTGGCCGAATTTTTTGCCCATCATGTTTGTCAAGAACAGTAAAAAGCGGACCTAATATGAGGGACTCGCACGTTTGTAGAGTTTGCCACACTTTACTTGTACGGGATTCAGCGCCGTACTTTAGCACTGAACCTCCTCATCAGCCTAACTAAATAAAAATAAATGGTTCAACGTTTACCTACACTTGGTGATACTAGAATTTAGTTATAATTTTTTATTTGTGTTAGTTAAACTATAAATATTATATATATATTATATTTTTTTTTTTAAACTTATTCTTTACATTTTATTTCAGTGTTTATAAAAGTTGTTGTGGCCTTGTCATTGTGTTATTTTTGTTTAATTTTATGAAACACTACATTAATTCAACAATCTATTGTTTAAATTATTTAATGCTTATTATTAGTATTAATCTGAATCATCGTCATTTTCTTCATTTCCTTGATCTCCTTGTTCACCTCTGTCATCTCCAGTTAATTCTTCATTTTTCATATGATTATCTATATTATATTTTGAATTATCTGTTTCGGTAGGTGATTCAACTGTTGTTTCAACATCTTTTTTATCATTCAACATATTTGATATTTTTCTACCTACTGAAGTTCCCTAAACATATGATAGGTAATAAAGAAAAATAAATTTATTAATTGTATTCATTAATCAAATACAGTTATAGTTATTACATATCAGTAATTAGTAATAAGTAATAACTTATATGTTTTTGCAATTTAAGCTTATGTTTTGTAAGTACCGTGGTATAGATTTCAGTATAAAAAAATAATTGTTCTATTGAAATAAAATAAGAATAAAAATATGTAATCAAGGCAAAGGTAAATATGCAGTATGCACTGACTATGTAGGGATCCATGCAACAATCAGATTATTTTATGAAAACTATTTCAGAAAATAAAAATGTTTACGCGTTATGGAAGGTCGCAAGGAGGTTATAATATGAATATAAGATGTAACCGCGGACCATAGATCCGTAGTCCTCGGTGGATGTAACTAAAAGTTGCAAAACCTAAATAATAACTTATTACTATCTACTGATTTTGCATCAGTAATACAATGAAATAATTTTGACTTTATATAACATGTACTAAATAATCGTCAAAGACAACTTCGCCTCCTCCTATCATCCAAACATCTCTCACTACACAATAAAATCCTCATGTACAAATTACTCCTCAAACCTATCTGGACCTACGGAATCCAACTCTGGGGTTCAGCCAAAGACTCCAATATAAACCGAATCCAAACATTTCAATCCAAATGCCTCAGGCAGATAACTAAAGCCCCTTTTTATGTTACAAATGATACCCTCCACAGGGACCTCCTCATTCCGACAGTAAAAAAACGTCACCGAAACCCTCTCATCCAAAACCTATCTTGCCAAACAATCCCGGGCGACCCTGGCCGACGTTTAAAGCGTAGCTGGTGCCGTGACCTACTAGTCGACTAGTTGACTAGTCCACCATCCTGCCATGAAGTGCTATTAATGAATAGTCTCTTCAACAAGTCAACCATGTCCAATTACCAATATATTATCATTATCTCCATTGTACTTATTGTAAATATTTTTTTTATACAGATTGTACAAATAAAAAACAAATATGACAAAAAAAAAAAAAAAAAAAAAAAAAAAATATAACATGGGAAACAAAATGATGTTTGTATTAAACACATATTGTGACTTTAAATTGAATTTAGTTCTACCAAAATAATATGTGATGTACCTATATTCAAAATAAGTAACTAATAATGAAGGATTATAGCTACTATGCAGCTCCTGTTGCTTGCTGAGAAATTTCTCCTACAACTGCTACCTACTCTTCCTGGCCGATTGGATGAAGACACAGGTTCTTTATTGGTTAGTACAGGTGATGTGGAGTTTGTATCAAGTTTGGATCTCACTTGCGGTTGTCTTATTTGTGGTGTACTTGAAGTTTTCTATAACTCGTGTAATTGGTCTGCAAAAAAAAAAATGCTGTGTTAATAAAACAGCTTGTAATATTTACAGTCTACAGTTGTTGGATTCAAACAAATATGTAAGAGACACCAATACTAAAGAATAGATTTCATCTAGACATCTAGTGTGTGCTAAAACCTCCACTTAATTATTTCAATCACGCTGGAAATACTTAGTGCTCAAAAGTTCGATTACTTACCTGCTATTCTTTGAACATAACAAACCCATTATACAACAAATAACAATGTTGATTGGTAATAGCTATTTACTAACACATAAGATGTACTCAAATTGTAATTACAAATTTGTTGTACCTAATTTAAATAATACACTTTATACTAATAATATTATAATATATGATATATCCTAATTTTCTAGGGAAACCAAAAACTATTACTCCACTCCTTTCATCTAAACAGTAAATTTTAAATAGGTAGGTAAACTCATAAACTAATCGTCCTTAATTCGATTTTTATGACTGTATCTAAAACTGTGTTACCTATGGGAATCAAAAAAGTAAAAAACCTTAAAATACAGATATATATTTTTTAACAATTAGAAATCATGTAAAAAATGTTGATAATGAGTGATCAATGATAAAAATAACCACTCAGTCAAGGTGTATTGATCAATACCGAGTTCTTATTGAAGTACCTAGTACCTACCTCTTAATCGAGGAAATAATTTTAAACTACAGTTAGGGAATAGGGAC